ATCTAGTAATATTTTTTTCATTAATCATCAAGGTAATAATTAATATATTGGTAATCATTTACATTGGTAATCATTACTTTTATACTAATGATTATTACTATATCCATCAATGCTCATTTATACGATAAAAGATTTACACATTTGAAATCTATTTAAGTTTAGTATAAAGTAACAACAAATAATAGCAAAACATTTGAAATTATGACTAGCACTTTATATGCTCCTGGTGATATAAATTTTGTAATATTAAATGATGGTAGTGTAGATATTGCATATATATCAATGATCATTAAAAGAACCTTGTTTACTCATGATGACTAGATGAGTATTATACCTAGGCAAAATGAGCGTTGTAGAGGATTTATTGTGCAATATTTTGTCATTAATCATCAAGGTAATAATATAAAATCATTTTTAAATAGATAATAATTTGAGTATACATTCTTAAAAATTATTGTATTACATGAAAAGAGATGGATTTTAGAAATGATAGTATTCATCTTGAATGAATACAATAGTAATATATACATAATCATTGACATTGGTAATCAAACTCATAATATTTAATTAATTGATTATCAATAGACAAGAATAATTATAGTGTAAACTATAAACGAAACAAATGATCTAACAATCGATATGTATATATGATTAAATTAAACTTAAGTTCTGCGTATTAAGACAAAAAAGTTGAGTAATGTAATAGACATTAGAATCAGCCATTACACAGTATTGCAATTTATAAATTTAAATGATCAACAAAAGGTTCTACTGTGAGTATCAAAACAAAGTCACTGAGTAATATAATAATAGACATAAGTCTAATAATAGCAAATGAGGGAACAATAACAGTGTGACAACATTGATATTTGAAAATCTAACTACAAACTTGTGTGCTGAGGTGCTGATGTACTAGATTGACGTGACTTTTTCCTTGCTCTGGCTTGATTGTTTTTCACTTCAATAAGACTCTTGCGACGCACATTTCTTTCACCCTTTTTCCTTGAAGTCTTCGGATTAGAAATTCTTGAACTGACATCAACTGAGGTAGAATCACTATCAGAGAAATAAATGCTTCCAACTTGATCTTGAACATCCATTTTCAACTTTTTAAAAGATTCTTCACAAAATTGCCTTGCTGTAGAATTAGAATCACTAGAGGACAAAAGCTTGTGAAATTTCTTCTGCATTTGCAATCTCCAAACTGAAGGTAAGACATTGGAAGAATCGTCCAAAACAAAAGGTTGTTCACTAGGAAGAGACTTTGCCATACGAGTCCAACGTTTCAGAATATAACAATCGGGAATAACTTCTACACAGTTAATATGATATATACGAAGAATATGACAACACAAAATACCAGCCTCTGGGAATTTCTGACAAGAACAACTAACCAAATGTGTTGCTAAATCAAATGAAACCCAATGTGAAAACCGATCTGTGTGAGGCATCCATACCAAATATCCCATTAAAGAACCTTGATGGTATCTAAGTTCAAATTTCAGAGACATACCTCGCATAAATTCGTTCTCAAATAGTTTATATGCATCAATTGTATAAACTTTGGAAGCTTTATGCAACAAACTAACATACGGAATGACAATTTCAGGATAACCATCCAAACAACGCTGGTGATCTTTTCCCTCATTACTTCTCCATTGACTGAGAGCTTCACTAAAAAAATGATAGAAGTCACATAGAGAAGAGTTAGCATTCAGCTTTCTAGACAAAGAGTGATTTGTAGTCTCGCTTCGTTGAGAAGATAAAATGCCAGCAGAAAAGAATTCTTTTGAGAAAGCTGGACACCATTTCTCCCTCAATTCATACAGTTTGGTTAACCAAGGATTACCAGAACAATTAAATTCAGAGATCATTCTGCAAAAAACACAATATAATGCATTAAAACGTATAATCACTTCGTAAAACTGTTTACTCATAACCAATGTAAACAATACTCATGAACACAGTATAAATGCAAGTGTGTAAGAACAAAAAAATAGGCACAATGAAACATACCTATTCCAGTAATGTTCAAATTCAGCAACCGTGTGACAGAGTTTCAAAACATGATCAAACAAATCCAAGAATCCCTCTTGATTGCGTAAATCACGTATATGTTTTTTTGAATTTTCAATGATATGCCATATACAAAGACGATGTTTGGATTGAGGAAAAATTGTAGCAATTGCAGAAGCCATAGCAGCAGATTGATCGGTCATAACAGTTCTTGGGTGGACAGAACCCATAGATTGCAAAAATGTATTAAAAAGCCATTCAAACGACTCAATTCGCTCATTCAACAAGAACTCACAACCAAACATGCAATTATGAGTATGAGAGTTAACACCTATAAAGGGTCCACAAATCATATCATATTTGTTGGTGCGATAAGTTGTATCATGGATAACCAATTCACCAAATGCAAGATAATCTTCCTTCATTTTCTTATCCCTCCAAAAAAAACTACACAAAGAACCATCCAAATCAACCTCAAAAGAATAGAAAAAATCTTCTTCATTTGCCTGTCTGTTCTTAAAAGTATTAATCAGTGTATTGGCATCACAACCATCAAAAGATTTTTTAGTTTTTTTTGTCAACTCATTATAAGCATCACGTAAAAGAAAACCGACAGAAGGAGAGCCACCTGCTTCAGCTTGCAAGCAACGAAACCCATCTGCTATTTTAACTCCTTTACTTTTCAAATGTTGCAAATACTCTAGCTCACTTGACGAAACAGCACGATGAGACCTAACGTGATGAACTAAAGAATTTGGGAAAAATTCATGATTATGAAGCATGTCATGTCTAACAGCGACAAACTCTCCAGTAGGCTTTATCTCAAAATATATTTTTGCCTTACAACCAGTTCGCCTATCAACTTTTGTATATTGTTTACCTACAACACCTTTGTTCCTCTTCGCACCTTGTTTCGTGCAACAAAATTCTCTGCCTCTAAAACCAGAACTACCAACTCGCTTTCTCAAAGTAGAATAACGCACACCAAATCCAATTCTATAAGCATAGTCATTATATAGCTCAAATGCCTCATTTTCTGAAGAAACTGTTGTACCCAATAGTTCAGAAACTTCAGCTTCCTTAACAGATATAGTTTCAACAGACAAAGGCTCATCAGATTGGGCTACATGAAGAAAAGTAGAAGAATTTTGAACTGCAGCAGAAAATGAAAACACATCAAAACAAGAAAACATATAATCATTACTAAGAAATACAATAATCATCTAAATGATACAACAAAACATTAAAAAGTGATAAAATGTAAGAAAGCAAATTACTCGGTAGGACAGCAACAGATTCAGTTCTAGACAAAAAATCTTCACTGAAAGTATCGTCAGATTCCATATAAGCTGAATTTTAAAAAATACACAAATGAATAATAATAACTCAAAGTAAACAACACTATGTAACTTGTAAAGAGAGAAATCAGTACTGCAATCAACATCAAAAAGTTCGCCTCTGGCCTCAATAGCCTCTATTAATTTGCCACTGCAAGAAATATCATCTACATAGGGGAACAAGGCAAAACAGAAAACAGATAATCATTACTAAGTAAGTCAATGCTCATCAAAATAATAAAAAAGCATTACAAAGTGATAAAATGTAACAAAGCACAATACTTGGTAGCATAGGAACACTACATTCTGTTCTAGACAAAAAAGATTGACTCAAGGTATCACTAGATTCCATGAAAGCTGAAACCTAAACCTGCGGAAGAAGAAACAAAAGTAAATAATAAAAATAAGCACAATGACGAAAGCTGTAGAAGAAGAACGAAACTAAGAGCAAAGACGGAAACATTAAAGAAGAAAAATTGGAAAAAACTATGAATCAATAAGATAATCTTACTTCAATGGATGACCAGACGGAAAGCCTGGAGAGAATCGCGGTTGAATGGCAATAGAGATCGCGGCTGTAACTGGGAGAAGAGGACGATCAATAGGTAAGACAAGCAAGATGAGCCTCAGAGTTGAAGTTAATTACAAAAAAAACCCGGCTGTACCATGCGCTAGGTACAGCCGGTTGTACCGTGTAATTTACCTCAAGAATGGGTGCTAATTGAATCGTTAGTGAGAATGTTGCTCTATGCAATGCTTGGGTTAGCATATCTCAAAATGGTATGATCTGCATAAATCAATCGAGCAAGATTTTTTGGATCGAGTTCATGTTTTATTTTCGAAAATTGAAGTGTTCCTCATAGTCGGGGTTCAATTGAGTCCCATTTTAAGATCATCAATCACCAATGCTCTATGTCGAAAGGTTGTGTGCGTAAGGTGAAGGCAAACCCGATGAGTGAATGCAAATATGATATTCATGACACATCAAGTGGAGAAGATAATCCAATGTACTATGTTTAGACACACAAGTTGAGAAGTGAATCCAAATGCTCAAATGTAATACGAATTTAATGAGGATGCTCATAAAATTTTCACACATGATTTAATTGAATGCTTAGAAGAGAATTTGATAATAATCAAACTGTACTTGAACTCAGTTCATTTTTTGTTAATCGAAAAACGTAAAATAATAATGACATTTATACGTAGTATTTTCCACAACGAAATGTGTACCTTTTTATTTCATAAATATTTTGAAAAATATAAAAATATTATTTGTAATGATCTAATTAATATTTTACTAAATTGAAGTCTAATAAAATATGGCAAGTATAATGTGAGCCTGTTTGGCAACCCAGTTTTTTGGCTTATCAGGCTTATCAATCAACTTTTTCACCAAACACGTAACTTTTGCTTTCGCGCTCTGAATTGTGTAATAAGCAGAAAAAATAAGCTCTAAATTGTGTAATAAGCAGAATCAGCCAATGCAGCCACTTCAGCCAAAAATTCATAAATTTCAGCAGAATCAATCAAAACAGTCGATTTTCGTCCTATCAAACGGGCTCTTTATTGGGGATTTGCAGGGAAAAATTGTATTGACGGGTCTAATCCATTATTTGTGCCATTTGAGGCATTAACACCGAAAAAGGACGGCCCATTGAGCAGCGAGTAGAACCAGACGCCCGCTCCCTTTCAAATTTGAAAAATTGATGAAAAAGCAATCATTTCAAAACCCTTCAATTCTCTTCTCCTCACAAATCTATATACACGTATGAATAGAGTATATTGATTTCAATTATGGCATACAATCGGCGATCGATTAGTCAGTCACCTTCGATGGATTCGCAATGCTATCATTCTCCGACTATCTCTTTCTCAACCAACGAAGACAATAGAGGTTCTAAGTTATAGCTTATCTGAAAATGCTGTATTTGTGCGTTTGTGTGTCTTTTCTTTTCATTTCGTTTTTGTGTGGAATCGACAAAAAAAAAAAGTTTTGTGTTGACACGCGCAGTTTATGCTTAAGTGAAAGTGTGATTTTGGTGATTTTGGTGAGCCATCCTTACATAAATGACTTGCGGTGTAGTTTCTGTTGATCTGAATTCTGAACTGCTTCTCGTTCTGTTTCTCTTTTCTCGAATTCAGAAAGAAATGCTGAAAGTGGTTCAAATCTTTGATTTTATGAAATTTGGAACTTGTCTTTTCAGTGGGTTATCCAGACCCGGCATTTGGGCGCTCTTACGGGCACTTTGGAAGCCCAATGGATGCGCGTGAGGCGTTTCTCATAGAGATTGAAAAGGAAAGCACCCGAGAGAAAATTATAGCAGATGAGATTGCAAGAGCAAGGTATGCTGAAGCCCGGAAGGAGGAAGAATGGGCACTGCAAAGGGATGGGAGGTATGACCAAAGGTTTCCCCTTCTGGATCAACATCCCCATGATAGGTCACCAATTGGCCAGCGATCATTCGTGGGGACCTCTGGGGCTGGATTTGCCACAAGAAATGAACACAGACAGCTTGAGGTGTCTCCTTATATGGAAGGGAGAGCTGAATCAAGGAGTTCAGAGATGTCTTTTGTGGACCGTAGGGTCGAATCTCGAATTTCGGACCGAAGACACCCATATGACTCTCTGAGAAACTGAGTAGGGAGCTGAGGATTTCCAAGGAAGTAACAGATTTCAAGAACCCATTTGAATTTTAGCATTCATGATTCATGAAGTATATACTCTGGTATGACTTATTGAGTGTATAAGCATTTCAAATTTGTCAATGGATGGCGCTCCCTTTTAGTTTTGCTATGTATGTGGTGGTATCCTTTCATGAATTTAATGAATTATGTGGCAATGCACTGTGTCACTGTACTTGTCACATTCCATAGGTTACATATCTAGAAAGTATGCCTAGATTAAGATTTTTGAACTAAGAGATATTCAATTAAGTAGTGCTGATGAAGCTAGTCTATGGTCTGTAAATGCCATACTTCTAATGCACCTGTGATGCCAACTATTACAGTTGCAATTATTTTTCGTTAACCTGTTTTGTTGGTTAAGAAGTATCAATTGATGTTTCTCTCAGTTTCTGTAACCAACTCTCATTGTCCTCTCAGTTTCTTTGTCATTCACACTAACCTAGCTTAACCACTCAACCCAGTGTGTGCTTGAAAGTAGGGTGTGATGTATGCACACCTTACCTCTACCTTAAAACTTACGCAGTACAATTTTACATGTTTGGAACTCCTTTTTGGGAAGTTACATAGTTACATTAACTTCGATGAAATTAGCATCATTTGTTGAAATGTGTCTACTCTAGGGATAAAGAGGTGTTAACCATGACATTTTTGGGAGTGAGGGATTTGTATATTTTTATAGTTAGATATTCTTGAGATTTTCAAATAAGCATATTTTACTTATGACTTAGGATCTGAAAATCCTTTACAGCAGAGGCATGTAGGCATTATCTCTGGATATATGATTTTCTCATGCAATCTAAGTTGCTGTAACCTTTGTGAATTCAGAAAAAAAAGTTTGACAAGACTATTGTCATTTTTTCATTCTTCTTTTTTCCTTCTATGATGTTATATTATTAATTGACTAAGCTCATCTATTTCGGGACCCAGATGTATTTGGAACAAAAGGTTGAATATATTTTCATTTCAAGTGATTGTTCTCATTTCCTTGGGGTATTAGTGTCAATGTTGAGCTTCCATAGAAATTTATCCTTTTATTGAAAATGTTGATTTCAGTATGTGATCCAAGTGGCTTAACAGTGTAAGGACTGGCAGATGAAAGATGGAAAATAGTCTAAATGATGAACTAATTGCAAGTTTATCATGGTATCAAATCGAATTTTTAGTGCTCAAATAATATTCATAGTGAAATGTAATTCTCGTGTTAACCCAAAGTGTGTAGATGTAATCCCCAATTGTCTCAATGTGTAAATGTAGTCTTCGCTTGTATTATACATTTCATTTATTAAAGGATCATATTTATTACAATTTGGACAATTGAGAAATTACGTTTACAAACTTGAGAACACGAGGATTACAATTCAATATTGATACTATTGAAGGATTAAAAGTGCGATTTAGCCTTTCATTTAATTCTTATGATGATAGTCGGATGATACAGATACAAACATCGATCCCCAAATCGTATTTATGAGAGTTTATGTTGTAATTTTCATTTTAAGAAGTCATTTTATCATAAGTTTAGGGAACAACTTAAGTATACACTGCACGTCACAAATATATCATACATACACCCATCAAATTTTCTGGGACGTGTCACCTATATATTGCAACACATCCATGAATCGCCATTTGTCAGCCACACCATTCAAATCTCACCACTGTTTTCGGTCATTCCATGGATAAATTTTATTTAATTAAATAAATAATTTCTAATTTGTAATAATATTTTTTCCCCGGCCTCTGATTGAAAGTCGATACTGGCTATAGTTCTTCGATCCCAACAAATAGAGCATATATTCATCGAATAATAACAAAATTATCATCATATCTTAATTAATTTATTAGATCGATCTATAGAAGAAGAGATCGAAATGTCCGGCGGGGTTGGGCCATGCAGCGACATACGTCTCCCCAAGGAAGAGGCGGTAACGACGGACGACACTAGCAGCAGCGGCAGCCGGGGAAATAATAATGATATAAATTCTGTTTCGAAGCGGCCGCCGCCACGTCACGGCGGCAGGGGGTCGTTCACGTTCCGGCAGCTGAATGCCCTGGCCGTGATGGTCGTCCTCTCGGCCAGCGGGATGGTGAGCATGGAAGATTTCGCGTTTGTGCTCTTCTCCATTGTGTATATCTATTTCATCTCAAAGGTGGCCTTCCCCCGGTCAACGCCGCCTTTGGAGGATCCGGTGTTCGACCAAACTAACCGGACCCTCGGCCTCTACGTCTTCGCCGGAGCTGCCATCGGCTTGTTTCTCCCCATCGCCTATGTTTTTGAAGGTTTGTCTATTACTAGCTTTCAAGTCGTGCGATGCACGGGCAATACATAATTTAGTTCATTGTAAATTTGATATTTTCAAAATCATATACGTAGTATAATTTAATGTGATGTAAAAGCAAAATAAATTTGGTCTCATATAAAGTCGTTTGATAATACCAAAATGAGTTGAATTGTCTGACTCTACTTTAATAAATTAAATCTAACTGAATGGGCTAAATTGACGGAATCTTCCAAATTATGAAAAAGGGATGGCTGAACCGTGTCATACAAATTAATACTCCCTCCGTCCCTCTATTAAATTCCTACTTTGACTTACACACATATTTAGGAAATAAATTTGACTTTACTGTTTAGACACTGTTTGACACTGTTTAGACACTGTTTGACACTGTTTAGACACTGTTTGGCATTGTTTTGCACTGTTTGACACTGTTTTGATGTAGGATAACTTTCCATTTAGGGAAATGAGAAGATTATTTTGGGACGACCCAAAAAGGAAAGTAGGAAGTTAATAGCGGGGCGGAGGGAGTACAAATTATGAATTAAATCTACTGTAACTAAATTTTATAAATGACGTACTTTATAAATGACGTACTTCATCATCTAAAATTTAGTTCTTACAAATAAATTTTCAATCTACTTTATTTTTTATTACAAATAAAAAAGGATGCTAATCCGTGTCATACAAATTAATACGGAGTAATTAAGTAGAGGTTCTCAAAAAGTTACGTAGTATAAATAAGGTGGATTCTATATAATCGTACAATATTTTGTTTCCATATCAATATGCAATAAAAAATAGAATGTAATAAAAAATAAAAAGCATAAAAAGTAATTAATAATTATTATATATGATGACATGGCAGGATTATGTGGCACACCGTATGCTCTTAAAAAGTTCCTCTTTTATATATATATTGATTATTATTTCCCTGAGATACTTCCTTCTGTCCTACAAAATTGATCTTTTTTTACTGGGGCGTAGCTCAGCTGGTAAGAGGGTGTCACGAGGGAGAAGTCTCGGGTTCAATTCCAAGCAATAACATAGAATGAAACCTCACTTCCTTTCCATTAGAATGAGATCAAAACCCAATTTACGTATTCTTAATTGTCCGGTAGGTTTTGGGCCCTCAGGAGAAGTGTCATATGTTATTTTGACCTTTCTTTGTTAAAAACACTCTCACAAAGTTATAAATTTAGTTATTAAATTGTAGTATCTATTGTTTTATATAGTAAAACTGAGTTATGAAACAATGACGTGTCACTCTCTGATTGGCTAACATCAATTTTATTATAACTACTATTAAAAAAATTAATAATCCCAATTCAATCGGTGCATCTCTACTAGGAGTAACTAATTGGGCAATTTTTTCGGAAACAGTAAAACAAGAAATTCACTCCACATCACACTATTATTTTAAGCATCTAAGCACGATCAGTAGAATACTATACAAACCACAAAATATTCTTTCAAATAACTTAAAGTATATCAACATGTGTTGGATTTAAAAATTAATTGGGACTCAATCGTACAATTCCCCAACAATATATAGGACTCTAAAGATGCATTTAATTGGACTTGGACTAAAATTTTCTGGTTTGGTCTGATTAAGTCTGGCGTGCTTAAACTGGTATGAATTGGTCCGGTAAAGTCTGAAATTTGTGTATTTTATAGTTGTTTTGGTTTGACCGGGTCTGTTTAAGTCTAATTTGTTCTGATCTTTTTTATAACGGAAAACAGTGTAAGTATGTTTTGACTTTGACTGTTTTCAGTCCAGACCAAATCAGACCAGAACAAACTTGAATAGTTATAAAATACACAGAGAACAGACGTTTACCTGACCAAACCAGTTCAGATTAGATCAGACCAGATCACACCAGACCCGACCAGAACAACAAATTTCAGTCCAAATAAAAACATACGGAGTACCAAGTAAAATTATCCTAATACATGAAAATTCTAATACACGCGATCATTCTTATCACTATCTTCCGTCATCACATAATCAGCCCTATAAATAATCAACAAGTAGCATATGAACCACAATATAACCACATAATTCCTGTAGTAAAAATGGTGATTCTCAACGTCGTCCATGGTATATTATTATTATATCAAAGAGATCTTGGTTAACAAGTTTGCCAGCCTAATCTAAATTTACTTATTTCTGATAAGCTCCTTTAAAGTGGCAAAAGAAATACTTAAAATAGTGATGAACGTGTTTACCACATATGCTTAAAACAATTCTGAGCATTTACATCATATCATCTTCAATTATTTTTCTTTTCCAATTATATGATCATTAATATAGAAATTTTTAAAAGTAAATATTAGGAGAGAAAAATAGACTGGGTGTATTAGAAATAATAAAAAGTTACTCCCTAGATCCCAAAAGTACTTTCCAGTTTGAATCAACACGTTTCTTAAGAAAATACGAATAAAATGGAAATGCATTGTTGTGTTTGAGTAAGAAAAAATAAATGAATATTAGTCACACAACTTTCTAAAAAGGAAATAAGAAGAAATTTTTTGGACATCCCAAAGTGACAAGTGAGAAGATTTTTTGGGACGGACTGACAGAGTGAGTACATGTTTGGTGAAAAATTGACTGAAACCTGTAACTTTTGGGTACCAATATTTGTTATTAGACATATCTGTAAGGTTATTACTCACTTGCAGATCTGGATGTTTCAATGCATTAAAACATTTAATAAATATGGAAGGACTAAATTCGCAAAAAATATGAAAGAGTTAATAGAAAAGACTTGAGAAAACGTAGGAGAAAAAACGTAAAAAACATATCTTTAATATCAACCATAGTAAATTATTAATGAAATATATTTTTTTATAGAAAAAATGCAATATCAATTCAATTTCCCAAAAAAAAAAAAAAACGTACAGCACCAAATTTTTATGTAAATGTCGCCATGTCGGGACTCTAATAAACGTAATAGGACATTATTTATACAAAACTAATATTACACATTTGAACAAGGCACTAATGCACCACTAAATTATTTAAATAATGGAACTTTATATTAATACATGTGAACGAGGCTCAATCTAATCGTAATACAACTATTTTTTGAAACTCTTGACAAGACACTAAGAGAATATGCTCAATAGTAAATTAAAACAATGAAGAGTTGTCGTTTGATTTGAAAATTGTTATTCCTGGGGAGATTATCTGTAGGCACCACAGGTAATCCCTAAAGGGCACATGTGAAAAAATTGTCATGTTTGCAATAAACTCATCATACTTATGAGATTTTGCTGAAGTTATGCATCTCACAATGTTGTTTAGAAAGTAATCTTTTAAAATGTGTAATTTTGTTTTAAAGCACATTTTTTTTACTCCAGGGAGTCTGGGGGAGGGGGGCTGGGGGGAGTTTGGAGTAATCAGGGTTGAAACTCACTCCATTGAGTTTCTAACTCTTATGTGCCTAACGGGTTTAATTCGAACTCGAGACCTCCCACTAGGCACGGTAATCTCGCAATGAGCTAGGCCGGAATGCTTGGTTTGTTTTAAAGCAGATTAATGATACTCACCACATTAATATTTTCATTTTCTCTACTTTTATTACTTTGCATACTATGAACATTACTTTTTCAACTAATATGCTCATAAACGAATAATAATAATACTAATAATCCTAAAGCAAAACAAAAAAACACATCAGTTCTTTTAAATCATATTATTAATTTCTCAATGCAATATTAGTACTGTTATTAACAATTCAAGTTCTGTAAATAATCCATTGTCTAATGTTCATCATTTTAATTCATATCATTGTGAAACTGTCTGCCGGGGCATGCCCCGGGTGTTACACTAGTATAATAACTAAAATTATTATTCAAAATTTATTGACGTTGATTGAGAAAAGTCAAATTAGCACAATTTATGGGTCGGGATGAATATTTTCCCCGTTGGGCACAGGTATATTTGAAGGAGACAAGGAGGGGATCAAGGCGGCAGCGCCGCACGTGTTCCTATTGGCGAGCCAGGTGTTCATGGAGGGGGTGGCCATGACGGACCGGTTCTCGATCCCGGTCCGGGTTTTTGTTCCGGTGCTGTACAACTCCAGGAGGATTTTCACCTTGGTGGAGTGGCTGAGGAGCGAGATTGTAGCTAAGGCTGAGGAGGAGCAGAGAGGGAGCGGTCGGAGATTGTACGTCGGGAGAGTTCTCGCGGTGGCGAATATGGCCTTTTGGAGCTTCAACTTGTTTTGTTTCTTGCTCCCCATTTACCTGCCCAAGGCCTTCAAGCTTTACTATTCTTCAAACCCTAAGCATGCTTGATTGTCTTACTATTCTATAAGGCAACACCGACTAATCATAATAATTGACTATATATGTTGATAGGATGGTAATTAATAAACGTCGAGTTCCCCCCTGTTATATGGTGGATGTAGTGTACAAATCAAAAGTATTTGAGTACTGAGGCTTGGCTTAGTTGTACTGAATTTTCTGGTTTGTATTATAGTTTTGAAACTGTTGAAACGGCAACATTCATACATCTATTGTATGGATCTGAATTTTCATATCCTAAATTGCTAGCTGAACGAAGTAGACTTATTTAGCATTATTTAGCAAAAAGAGTTAAACTAGTATCTTAGTACGAAATTACATTAAAATACTTAGTATGATTTATTATTATAATAGAATACTTATACTTATCTTTATATTTTCAGTCTTTTAAAATGTAAGTATATATATTTTTACTAGCCTGGTAGCGCGTGTTGCGCGCAATCTGTGCGAAAAAAATGGGGGGGAATGAACTGAACCCCAAGGGTCAGTTTGAACTCCAAAAATGTTAAGAAGAAAAAGAAAAATGGGGGATAGAACATCAGTTCAAGAGCAATAAATTTATCAGGAATATTTAGAACAAAGGAAATTCATCAGTTCAAGATATTCTATCTGAACTGTATCAATAGCGCGTTGCGCGCTAAACATCTAGTCTCCCAGTTCTAGCAACCATTTACGAACGAATCAGAGAACCCACGCGCATTGCGCGAAATCCGTGCTCAATACCAAGATACAAGCAAAAAAGGGAAAAAACAATTTAAAACAAAAAGAGGAAACAACAATTCAATCATCCAAGTACACCATTGCATTGTTTAAAAGCTCTATTCATGATTGTAAGGATTGCAATGACATCAACAATGGGGATGTCAAAATAATCAAGAAACCTCAACAAAGAGGAAGAGAAGCAGTTTTCCAAAACTTGAAGAGCAGTCAAATATATATCTGTCTAATGAAAAACAATTGAAGGAAAGACCAGACGGAAGAAGAAATTGTACCTCCACGCCATGGAGGAAGTGGGAGATTCACTGCTGAAACATCCTAACTTAAGGGTTGGGTAGATTAGTCGGATGGTGGCAAAAACTTAGGTCTCTCATGGAGAGTTTCAATTGGCCAGAAACCCAAGCGTCTACCCATTCTTCAAATCCACGGAAACACCACTCTCAGTACACTTGATCAAGTTGTTATTGTCTCATTCTTTATCAAAGGCATGTATATCAGCCATTTTACTGCACAGAAAAAGAATATATTCATACTCACACATGGAAAAAATAGATAATTATAATTACTATTTTATCATATGAAAAACAGGTAATCACTTGTTCACATTTTATCTATCCACTAAAAGAACAAGTTCTTTTTTTCATTTTGAGTGGATGAATATGGCTGGAATTATGCCTGGCATTGGTCAAGTTGCTAAAATTGCATAACTCTGAAAAAATAGCACATAAATATATTATTGAAGAAATAAATAACATGTATATGGAAAATGCCAATATGATCCTCTCAATTAATTTCAGCAACTTTGGGGGAAAAGGCCCCCAACTCTGCTTTCTCTCTAATGACCAATTCGGTGTACATTTAGTGTTTGGCAAATAATCTTACCATAACTCTAATAAGCCTAAGGTGTAGCGTCAAAAATGGCTACCTAGACTTCTAGGCTTCTACAGGGTTAATATTTTAAAACCTTTCCTATCTAATCCATAGTTTTCTATTATTTTTTCAGAATATCCATCATAGCCTTAGAATATCCACGAGATGCACTGCCACTTTCTTCCCTATTGTTCTTCTATCAGACGTAAGCCCTTTCTATAAATGCTTAAATCACAAAAGGATACATTAAATTATGGAAAAATGAAATTTGATAAGTAAAAAAATAGTTTACCTATCAAGTTGAAAATGGGATCTCAATAAATCGATATCTTTGCAGGTATAATTAGATGCACACATACAAAGTTAGCAAAATCGCATAGAGCATGAGGTTATGACCTGATCAGGTGTGGTGTTTCACAAATTGCATGTGGCCAAGATTCCAAACATATGAAAAATATGAAATGAAAGATTTGATGAATAATAACCCTGGTAGACAAAGGAAGTGAACCAGCCGGCATGACCCCAAAAATTTCCCTACACACAAAAACTAAAATAATCAGGAAACATATTGTAATTATTTTGAGCAAATTAAAGCTCACAACATGTGCACTCACTAAACCAGACTTATAAAGATACAATGTTTTTTCCATATCACATATTGAATCAATACAAAACAGGTGAGACGCTGAAGAGCACACGAGCAGTAAAATAAGCAGCCAAAAGATTAAAATTGGTTACAGAATAAAATAAGCAGGTTGTTCAGCTTAAAAGACAAAAAGTTTAAAATTTAATACTAACTATGGATAGGTTCAGGTTGTTGTCGGAGAGCTAAAAATTAAAAAAAAAATTGTATAACTTATTAAAGAGCTTCATAAAAAAACCCAAGATATAAAATGTCGCCACAAAAGGCCAACTGAGCATTTAAAAAAATTATGACTAAATGGTTATAGGAACATGTCCTAGAAAGAGCCTTACTAATACATATTGCATTATTTGTGTATTCTTGTTAATCACGGAGCAATAGGGAATTTCTTCCGGTTTTTCATTTTGATTATAAGAGCAGGGATCTCAATCTCAGCTTGAAAACCCATCAGAGACCCCTCCTAGTTCTAATAGTTCACATTTATATTATATAAGACTGCACTCTTGGGATAGCCTTTTATAACCAGAAACGATAACAAAAAATGAAAGTAAAATACAGGTGCAAGAACCTGAGTCACTGGAGCCTCGCCTCTGTAGCCACTGGACGAGAGCTCCTGATGCCCTATAGCCATCAGACAGTCGCTTCTGAGGTCCCTCATGATACCCTGTAGCCCATCCATCCAAAAAGAAATTAAGTTAGTAAGAAGAAATTCTATTAATCTGTGGTAACGTAAAATTCTTGTTATCCTTGGTATATTTGTGTTTAAACTTTCAATATAGAGGTAATAACCCTTATAGAAACCACTAAAGAGTGGTTAGCACTTTGGTAAGAAACCACATTTCCAACACCAGAAATCACATTCAAACTTATCTCTTCTTTTTTCCTCTTTTTCCAACAGAGTTGACATTTATAGGAAGGCTGAAAGGTATAGCCAGGCAAAACTGACCATCTTCATATAAGACTTTCTGGGACCAACGAGCTTCAACAGATAAAACAGATCCTCCATCAACCTTAAATATTCAAAACAATCAATACTTGTAGAGAAATGAGATAATTAACGCAACAATACAAGTGAGTGAGTTACCGGGGGAACCTTTAATGTGTATATATGTGGTTTTAGCAAGAAACCATCTTTAGCAAGAAACCAACACAAATATTTCAAGAGCTTATCTTGGCAAGCAAAGGAAAGATAGTCATAACATGAAAGTTTGTTGAATCCTTTACTTGGCCACCAAAAATCTAAATCAAGTAAAAATAATAACAGAAAAGTAACGCCCAAAATGAAAAACACTTCCTCAAATTACTATAAAATCTGATATGAAAATTAACCCAAAGTGAAAATCTCCTGGAAAATATGAAGTTAAGAGATTTATAAACCTCACAAACCTACAAAAAACACATGCTGAGGAAAAAATTAGAAGCAAGAGTGAATAAAAACCGAATAAGAAAGGTATGTTAGTTTTATCATAGTTGAAAAATATGAAGTTACAAAACACATAAAACCTCACACACCCATGAAAACACAAGCAGGGGAACAAATTAGAAGCAGAAATGAAGTTCTTGGCAGAGCTGTTTATTGGGCAGAAGACTGCAATTATGCTACTGTTTCCATCATACCACCAGGTCTTCTAAGTAGGTTAATGCAACTGGACTGAAGTTTTTGTTTCATCGGATGAAAACTTTCTCATCCCTCTGTGGACCCAGGTGGTAGTGTAAATAATGTAGAATTGAGTAGTTATGTTTTCCCTATCTTCGGTAATAAAAAACACTTCTAGAGAACAAGCAATCTTTTACCATGAAAAACTGTTGCCACTAAATTATCTAGTATGTTATTTTATTATAAAAAGAATTTACTAAATCATATCTCTTACCAAGATATATGTTTGAAGCCACATTTGTTATGCACTTATGCCATTTAAGCTAGTAATAGCCTGAAAAATCTATAGTTCATTCAATTATCAGATAATTAGTTTTGTTTGAATAAAAGATTAAAGTGAGCTTGAGGTTGAAAAGGAAATAAATTATAAGGCTAATAGATACATTGTTGTTATTCAGCTAATCAACACATTCTTAAATTGGCCTCATTGGTATAAGGAAAAAATAAAAGAGATGAAACCTGACTAAACAAACAACTCAATGAGACAAATTCACAAACATATATAGCGCTTCAGTTTTTTTAGTTAGAAAGGAAGAGCAACCGTACCTCGAGGGATGGAGAAGTACTTTGTTGCATATGAGAACCAGGCCCAAACTTCTATTTTGTTCATATCCTGAAAATGAAATAGAAAGAAAAGCAAACAAAAGAGAAAAAATCTTAGCTGTCCACATCAAGGTGAGACTTGAGAGGTGTTGATTAACCCTTCTCCATACCAGGCACATATGATTTGATCATGAAAGAAAACTACACATGTGTGCGCAAAACACAATTTTAAAGGTCGACCAAATATAAGATTAGACAGCAACGTAATCGAACTGTTGTGCTGAAAGCAAACAAATTAGAAATGAATTAGGCAGTCTTTCCAATGCTGAATTTAAAGTAATTTAGTCTTTTCCCAGAGAAAAGACTAATGCAGAAATTAAAAACATAGAGCCAAGTCTGGGACAGAGTGTTATGTTTTTCATTTGACTGTGGTCTAATTTTGAAAGAAGTGCATACCCATATGTAATGCTTATCAGCCCCACCCAAATATTACAACAAATGAGTGTTGAAATCCTTTCCTGTGTTCTGCAACCAAAATGCTTATCAGGAAACGAAAATGAATCTGCTAACATCAGGCAGGAGGGAATGCATCATGAGCTCTATTCACCCTAAAGCAAAAATGTAAGTCAAGTTTTTTTCCTTTCCTTTTGAGTAGCTCTACAAAGAGATTCCAAATATTTCGACTCTTTAAGATCATAGAAAAATAAAATGATTTTCCAATTACCCAAAAAAACTTTATCAAAGTCCCAAAAAAGCAAACGATAAATAAACTAAAAACTTAAAAAGAAGTATACCCTTCATGAGTTTCTGGAAAAAGGAGCCCCACTCCCTTCTTCCTCAGACACACTCCTCTTAAGTACCTATTATAAAACATTTCGATGTCCTTTTTTTGAATTTAAAATAAAAACTGAAGCAAAAGAAAATTCGAATTTAATAGAAATAAAAACAAAATACAACTAAACGGAACAAACTCACAAACATATAGAGTGCCACAGTTTTTAGATGGCAAGGTAGAGCAATTGTATCTCAGAGACTGTAGTTGAGCCTATTCGCTCAGATATATTCTTCTTTGCATTCATATCTTTGATATCATTTCTCTGAGTCTGTGATTTGAAATTACAATTAAGAAAAAAAAGGTAAATGTCAATGATTTGGAGACCCCAGAGCAAATCAAAGTGGGAAAAGATAACATACCTTGAAGAAGAAAAGTGGACCAGAGTAGAATAATAGGAAGATTATAACCTAAAAAAATTACTATCATTTGCCATATGGTTATAACTTTCCTAATCATCACTCAGGAGGTTTATAGTATTTTTTGTTTCCACGCAGCAATCTAGCGTGCTACAAAAGAAAGTAAACAAGAAATGCACAAAATTGATCCTCACATTCAAATTAATGATTACTCACAATTTTGTAGAACACCAGCATCCACAAAAGAAGAACAAAGTATCCCTACGTTAATAGCAAAATTAATTCATTACTTAGAAGTCAGAATTAGTTTTGAAAAAAAACTAATCTCAATATAATAGAAGGAAAAAATGTCCCCATTGTTAGTGATATTAAGAAATATAATGACCTACACGACCCTTTGAAAAAGTAGGAGCTTTATAGTATTTCAAGTGTCTTGTTTTCATAAATCAGCTACAAATGATGCAAAGAACTCACTTGGACTTAAAAACTACTTAGATTTGAATACATAGTAATTGTTATTGGTATACTATAATAGAAAATTAGGAGAATTGAAAACTAAATTAAGTTAAGTTCTAACAGAAAATAACTCCCAAATATGTCAAACATATTCTCATACTAATATAAAAATCAGGTATGAATATTAAACCAAATAAAATCATGTGAGTCCTCAAATTGCTTAGCAGATGGCATAAAACATCACTCGATGCAGATCTAACATCAAGAAGGCAACAATGTGTGCAGAACATCAACACTACCTCTTCATCATCGTCCCCTTTTCAATCCTTCAATAAACAATCAATAAGGTTTGTTAAAATAAACATAAAACACAGAGAAAAATAGAAATTTTGGTATGACTTACAACATTGATGATTAAGATGACACTATGCTCAGCATAAATTTGAGCCCTAGGAACCTGAATGCATAACCCATTAACTGCTATGAGAAGTAGTACCCATGACAGCTGAGATAGCGAAACCCTAGACCAATAATAATAATGAAACTAAAATGAAATTAATCAGGAAGAGAGGTGATGATTACCGAGGCTACCAATTTCTGTTTAGAGACGAAAGAAACTTACCAAGGTCAATGGCCGCTCAGAGACGAAATATGCGGGATGTCGTCGAGAGGACTTCGTCGCTGCTTGATTTCTGAACATGGATTTTCTTAAAACAGAGTGAAGCCCGAACTCTGTACTCCTAGAGCGAGAAAACATGGCGAATTGGCGGACGACCGGAAGCCAGCGGCTTTGGTAGAGGTCTTCGGAACCCAAACGCTGAGGAAGAATGAGAAGAAAGAATTCTGAAAATCAAAGAATGGAAAATGAATCGGGAAAGCATCCTCACTCACTTCATAGGCGGAGAGCAGCAAACGACGTTAATTATTTGGAGCTGTTCACACGGTAAAAGGGCCATGCTAATCATCACTCCCACTTTACATTTTTAGTAGAAATGTGTGCGCGCATGTATACAATATTTCTGAATTTATACATATTTATGTATAGTGAAAGTTAAGCTAACTTGATAAGATGTCCCGCGCAGCCAGATATTTTTCTTTGAATATATAGGATTACTAGCTTATTTTATTTTAAATTATCATCAAATTCATAAAACTATTTTATTTTTAGACCTTTATCAAAATAGGATTCAAACTCCATTTTTTTCCTACAATTTTTTTTTGTATTCTCAAAATTATACCCCGTACTATGTACATTTTTATCAATACCAATGCCCTGCACTTTAGTGATGGAAGTTTCGTCGCTAATTCTGTCGCAAACAGGATTATGACGAAAATTTGTGGCTGACCATCCGACACAAAATTCTGGAAAATATTACGTTTATTGGCAGATTTATTAAGTTTGTACCAAGTTCCCATTACAAATCTAATGGGACGCAGAATGTCTATTTGATTCTTGGCAGTTGGCACCCTTGAGAAGAGAAATCAGATTATGAGAAAAAGCCTTATGCATCAATTCAATGTGATTTCAAAATCGAAAGCCATGTGTAGTCTTACGTTGTGAATCGAAGGTTTAATCCACCAAACTTTCATCCACAAGAGACATTATCGGTGGACACTCAAGACTTTGTGATGTAACCATTTTCTCATTTGTTCATCTCAATAGATACAAAACTTGTACACACGTCCTGATGATGAACATCCTCGATGAGCTGACTCTAACTGTTGAAGGATGCTTTGGAGTACCTTCCGATTCCAAAAACTCGTTTCTGTTTGCACCCAACCACCTTAAAATACAGAGAATGCATTTTAGACAATCCAACTTTTGATGCCTTAGATAACCCAACATGTGCTTTCGATGACTAAGTGTGTTCACTTTCAACTTCATGAAAAGTGTTAGACAACCTGTCAATAGCCTCATGTGCATATACAAATTGATAAAAGCTATTATAGAATCCAAGTTGCATGGTACCAAGATTGCTACTTCATATGTATAACATTTAGGGGTAAACAAAAAAACCGAAAAATCGAAACCGATCAACCTTAACCGAAACTGACTAAAACTGACTGACTAAAATCGAAGCGGACTAAAATGGACTAATTCGTCGGTGGTTTGATTTACGGTTTATACTTTGGGGTTGAAAAACCCACCAAACCAAAATCACCGAAAAAACCAACCAAATCAAGCAACAGTAATACAAATCGACTGAAAATGACTCAATATTTTTGGTCTGATTCTCGGTTTCAACTGTTCAAACAGTCGCTAAAACCGTTTGATTAAAAACCAAAACTGACCAAAACAGACCGAATAAAAACCGAAACCAACCAAAACCGAACTGATAAAACTGAAACCGAAACGACGAACACCCCTAATAACATCACAACAATTCAGTTGATTAAACTACTTTTATTTCAGCTCAAACATGACTTCTACTTTAGTTCAAAGATGAATTGAAATTGTAAATATTTCAGTCAAATTAAAGTTGAACAATTACACAATGACACTAAAATCACATAAATACTCACATTAAATTCAAATCATCAGAAAGAGATAAACATTGCAAAGTAAAAAGTGAAAAACTAATTGCATACCATAACTTTTGATTGTGAGGAGTGATCAATTAGCTCTCCACATTTCATTTTCTTGTGATCGAACGTCTCACAAAGTTTCAAAAGATTTATGTGTTCACCAGTAAGTCTCAACTAAAACAAAATGCAAATGGTCATCCAATGAAGCAATTAAAAATATTAAACCTTTAAAATAAAAATTACACTTATTATAGTAATTGTTATCCAAATGAAACAACATATGAGTAGCTAATTAATTAACCACAACAAAACTGTTTTTGGACAGAAATAAAAATTACTCAGTTAACATCTAGAGAATGCCCAAACCAGGCACCCGTTAATCTTAGTGCTGAAAACTGAAAAATATTCAAAGCAAACCGTTCGAAAAAACTAAAAATTGAAAAAAATGAAAAGAAATGAAAATTGAAATCTTAAAAGAATTGAGCAAGAATCATAATAAAGACTGAAAAGTTAACAACGGAAAAAAAATGAAAAAATATCAAATTATAAAGCAAGTTTCATTATAAAAACCGGAAAACTGCAAAAAAAATAAAAAATTGAAATCGAAAACTGAAAACTAAAAAATTGGTTTCTATATTCAAAACAAATAGAAAATCGAAAAAAAAGGCAGTCCAAAGTATAAAACTATCACCCTATATCACCCAATAAAGTACAAGAAATTAAATGAAAATCATCATCCAAAGTTTCATAATAATTTAAAAAATTACCTTTTGCGCAACCACATCAACCACAGATCTAGATCCTCCATATTGTTTGCACTTGTCCCCATCGGCAATTCGATTCTTTTTTACCTGACTTAATAGTCTTTTGAAATTGCTTTGACCTCTTATATTCTTGCACTGCACCCCAAGTGAAGTCATTCACTATTGGAGGTCGGCATTTCCTTAAAATTTTAATAAAGACATGACATTAAATTCAAATTTATTTCTATAAGACAGAGATTAAAAAGTAACATCATCCGTTGTGCTAACTTGATATCAATCATAATATTTGAGTATGCATGATGTTGTAAATGTTTTTCGAAACTTTTCTTGATATTTTCAAGTTTGTACTCAGAAATATCCCAAGTCACTACATCCTATATGTCAAAGATTCTTTAATCATTAAGATCACAATCCAATTGCATTCTTTTATTGGTTTTAGAATAAAAAGTAGAAACACTGTAAACGTTTTATTACTTAATACTCCGTATGCTATAACGAATAGTGTTTTATAAGGAGGTGTTTATTGTTATAACAATGATTTTATTGTCCAAAATACACATAAGTAAATAAATATATGATTTGTCTTCAATAAAAAAATCAGGAATTATTCCCAATACAATTCTTTTGTCCTTTTAGAGACCATTTCCATTGTTCACTAGCTGGAGGTAGATTATTCTTGATTTGTTTTTGAGACAATGTCTGGGAATTTTAAGATCAATTTTATGACATGTTTTTTTAATATTAATTTTGTCTATGAAATTTTATTTGATTAGTGTCGATAGTAATTTTTAAAAGTCTCTGCATTCTACCTTTTGTAATATTTAGAAAGTTTCTAAAATTTCATTGTTAAAAAGTAGATAAATAATTTAATAACATTAAAATAAAAAATAAAATCACAATATTGAAAAAAGTGAAAATGTTAATATTACAAATAATAAATGTAAAAACCCTTTTACATAGATGTAGAATATACAAATAATTTCTAAAGCGGAAAAATATTGACATTGACATTCTAAAAATTTGCGCATTTTTTTATCCACATTTATTCAAATTTAAACATTTTTAAAGATTTTTTTTTTATTATAAAAAAAAAACTTGCTACTCCTTATATAGCCAGATTGATCATTTTTTCAAAGTAGATGCACTTTCTTTTTACTCTAGGGGCGTCTGGGGGAAGGGGCCTGGAGTAATCAGGGCTGAAACTCACTCCATTGAATTTCGAACTCAAGACCTCCCGTAAGGGAGAGTAAATCGGCGACCAGCTGGGCTGGACCGCTTCCTCAAAAGTAAAAGTACTCATTTGATACAATTTTATTATTAGCGCTTAAGTGACTAATTGAAAATAGTAAAATTGTAAAAAAAAAATGAAAATAGTACAAAGACCTATTCACCCATTTTTCCAATAATTAATAGTCTCACCGTATCACAACAAGTGTCTCACTTTCTCTTTTAGATCGTATCAAAATAAGTGTCTTCCCTCCATTTTTTGGAAGTACAATATACTTTAATAAAATAAACAATATGCAAAATCGTCTACTTTTTCAAAAGCTGTACAGTAAACCTATAAACTATATACTTTAGTAATCCAAACTTTTAGCGGTCTTCTTTCAATAATCCCACCTTTTGATTATTCGTGAATAATCCAACATTTGCACCTCATCTTCATTCACTGGTCCCTGACCGGTTGATGACCTCCTATTCCAAGCTATTTTCTTATCTTTGCAAATCATTATACCATAAATCTCATCTTTCACAAAGATAATATTTTGGAAAGATAATAAAATAACTTGGAATAGTAGGTCATTAATCGACCAGAGACCACTGAATGAAGATGAGGTGCAAAGGTCGGATTATTAATGAATAATCAAAAGGTGGGATTATTGAAAGAAGACCGCTAAAAGGTTGGATTATTAGTTTCCATTTTCCCAACTATAAATTACGTTAAACTACGTAAAAAAACCTACATGTACACTTTTTTCTAAATTCGGAGGGGGTAAGTAGTATCCAATATTTATTACCCTCCGTTCCCCTAACTTTGTTCCGTTTTACTTTTCTCGTCCGTCCCATTAAATTTATCTCATACCATATTTGGTAATATTTGGGTGTCTATAATTCATTTTTATTCTATTTACACTTTATCAATTAAATATTAATCACATAATTCTACTTTTTCTTAAAAATTGTGCCCAACTCCCTCATTCCAAACAAAGTGGGACGAATATCGTAGGATGTTTTTGTAAGTACCAATGTACCACTATAACAACAATTGTTATACGGACTATTAAAATTAAAATTAAAATTAACTAATAAAATACGGAGTAATTGAAAACTATCCGAATAAAAACCAGTAGGGTTCCGGTTTATTTTTGCTGAGAGAATTGAATCGGGAAACTGAAGACCCGTTATTTTAGTTCATATAGCTGGGCTTGTACCCCAACGAAATAGGCTTATCTTCATAGCCCGGCCCAATAAAATCTTCGAAATTTCATCTGCCCTAGCTATATTAGTACCTAAGTTTCGTCTTTAGGGCTCTCTCGCACATTGGCTGCATCCTTGCCGAGTACTCTCCTCTGTTCTGCGTTCCGGCGTTTCAAGTTTTCCGGCTTTCTTCCACAAAATGGTGGATTTGGCTTTATTCCCTCTCTTCCTTCTATGTTTACATTATTATGATTTATACGTATATTTCGATGCTATCAAAATCTCG